AGATTTTCTTTTAAAATAGATAAGAGAGGTCAGTTATTCTTCCTTCAAAGCTAGCATCTAACTCTCATGATTATTAATGCAAATTACATATGCATAATTACAAATTACTGGTGACGAAATAGGCCCTTAAGGAAGGGAATAATGGGTTTCCTTATACCGACATTTGAACAGTGTACAGGGTCAGACACAATTCTGGACCTAACAGTAGAAATTGGTCCAGTAGCACCTCTCATTCCATGTTCAGTTTCATTAGATTTTAAATACTCTTTAGGGCAAGAAAACTTAAAGGACGCATTACCAACATCTTTGACTCCAGGAGATCTGAATTTGGGGGAATGTGATATGCCCCAAGAATTTTTACTGGAATGCTACGAAGTATGGGAAACATAGAGCTGAATATTTGAAAAACATTTAAAGAGAGTGAAATTTAAAGCTATCCTGGTTAAGCAGGGATGTAAAGATTAGGGTAAGCAATAAGTAGAAGACTTTAAATAAATAAATAAATAAAAACAATCCTTTCACAATATAAACAAGCTGGCAAGCAGGATTGAGATATCCATTAAAAACAAGCAAGAGCAGATTAAACAGATAATTACAGGAAGACAAAGAATTACTGGACATTCTGCTGTCAAGACCATTCCAGCTAACAATTTTTGTCAAGTATAGCTACACTAGAAAGGCAAACAAGAAAGAAATGGTCTTCCCCTAAATTGTTCAGAATTGGAAGTAGGGGATATAACAAAAGGAACAGGTTAGTGTGCCTTTGTTCTTTACGGAAGAGGCTGGACAACTGCTTCAAGACCAATGATATGTCTTCTGGTAAGAGAGAAGTGTTAGGGCATCTCTACATTAGGGAAATGTCCATTGATATAAGCAGTAGTTACAGCAGTGCAAACCCCTAATGTAGATACAATGTATCAATGCAACTTAATCCAGGGTGTAAATTTTCCCATCTTAGACAAACCCTAAAATGCCAATGGAACTGTGTGGGAAAAAGGATTCCACTTATGATATACAGAGCGCTAGATTTAGATTACATATAATATTTCCACAAGGTGAAAGAGATTCTTTCCTTTCCTTGAAGAAATGAAGATTGAAATTAGCGAAATCCTAACTGGTATTTTTTTAAGTTCTCTGACGACAGATCAGATTCCTGAGGTCTGGGAAGTGTTAAACATTTTGTTACAACAGAGGGCCATGGGAGGGAGCAACTATAGAATAGTTATCTTAACATCACTTGTGGAAAAATATTAGAAACAATTTTGCTAAATCACCTCAAGAAGCATAATTTGATTATAAACAGCCATTGTGTTAGTCTTGGAGGGAGGTTTCTGCTTAGAGCTAGCTTACTGAATTTCTTCAGATATTACTAGGATGTCTTTTAGTTTTGGGCCATTCCTTGCTTTTAATATTAGGTACATGAGAAGATAGCAAATTAATGATAAACCACATTTGAAAGATCAAAAAATGGGAGATACTGCCAATTTTTTTCTAATGGGCATTGAAAGTTAGGTGGCTAAATTTGTATTTAAGTACCTCAATAAAAGGCATGATTTTTCAGACATGCTGTGCTCTAGGTAACTCAATCCCTTATTTTGGTGCCTAAAAATGGATTAAGCTGCCTTATTTCAAGCATCCACATTTAAACATTTTGCCCATAGTAAAGAGTGAGAGCTAATGAGACCAGAATCACAGGGATTTGAATTCTGTAAGCAAATGAAACAGTAAGGTTATCACTATATTGTCCAAGCGGTACACATGGAGTTTTAGTCATGCACTTCTTAGCAAAGGAGCCATGTGCTTAAAATGCCAGCACACTGTTTGAAAACATAATCACAGAACACAAAGGCAACAAACCCATAGAGAGTGTATGTGGGATTGTGACACAGCACTCATGAAACCTATTGACTATGAGAAGGGTATAAAGGTTATTGTACAAAAATCCTTGTAGCCATCCGCCTATACTGTCTATACATTTAAAAAAAAGTCAGACTGGATACAGAGAGGGATACAATACAAATAGAAAGAAATTTTAGGTCTGTGATCAGCAAGGGGAGGGGGGGAAGGGTCAGAAGGGGAAAATTCCCAAGGCCCCTGAGTACCAGGGGGCCCCAAAGCAGTCAAAGGTTTCAATATCCAAAGACAGCCAACAGATTTAGAGGCAAGGCATTCACAAAGTTTACTTAGTTCAGCCAGAAGATAGTCTCACATTTCAAGGTTTCTTCTTCAGTGCTGGGTGGATGCTTAAAGCTGCTAAGCTTTTCAATTCAGTATTGAAGCAGAGGGAGTGCTAACTGATTGGAATAAATACATTTAAAAAATGAACTCATCCATGCAGTCAGAACTGTATGTAGTATCAGTGTCCATTTGTTTGTACATTTCAGAATATTACATTAACCTTAAAAAAGAAAAAGCTTCTCTGCATTGAAGTTTAGTGTCTGAGCTTTAGGGTATGTCTAATACTGGCAAGTTTCTGCGCCACAAGTTATACCACTTTTATTAAAACGCTGGAATTAAACTGCTGTTGTGTGTCCACACTACGCTCCTTGTGATGCTGGAGCACGTCCACATTAGCAGCTCTTGCAACGGCAAAGAGCGCAGTGCATTGTGGTAGCTAGCCCACTGTGCAACAGGCTGCAGGGTGCTTTGAGAAGGGTTTGTAATGCCTCATGGGGCAGGCACAGCATCAAATGATGCAGGTTTCCCAATCCCATTGTTCCATAAGCATCCTACTACATTGCCAGCTGATTTTCAACTGAAGCGTATGTGTATGTGGGGGGGAGTGTGTGACAGGGTGTGTGTGAATGGAGGGGGGGGAGAGAGAAAGTATGTTTTGGGGGACAGAGAGTGTGTCAGCGTGCTATCTTGTAAGTTCAGACAGTGGCAGGAAGCAACCAGTCCTGAGGCAGGGGGAGGGGGAAACCCCGACATCAGCCCCTGCCTCCCTCCTTGGGCGTGCGTACACACACACACACACCCCTGCCTCTGTGTTCAACAGCACGAGCATTCCACATTAATGGTTTGCTTTGTTTCATTGGGCTTATGCACAAGGAAACTTTTTTTTTTTTGGCGGTTCATCCACTGATATTTATTTTTGTACCGTAACCTTGTGAGAGCTCCTCTGCAATAGTGCATTCAGTTCCAGTTTCATTAGTAAGGACACTATGACCTCAGAGGTAGTATAGCTGTGGCAGTTAGGTGGGTTCCAAAATTCAAATATATTTATTGTTTTCAGGAAACACTAAAGATTTTTTTTATTCTCATGGTTCAAGAGAAGTCTTTATGTTAGCTAAATAGGACTGTATTTTCAAAGGTCTGTGGACTTTGCATGCATACCAACACCAAAGTGCACTTGCAAGCACATATACCCAGGCAGGTGCACAAATCAGTGGTCCTGAGAAGAATCTATGCTTACCTGTTAGAGCAATAACACAGCCGCAGAACAATCTATTCACAGTGCAGATGGTTTTGAAATCCAGAATTTGTGTTCTAAAAAAGGGGACAGGTAAGGCAGAGTGGGGAGATCCTGGACAGAGCTATTTCAAGCGGAAAGCAGCAAACAGATGGAGTAAAGTAGAATTAGAGTAAGGTCACTGAAGCAGATACATAATTCCAATGAGTTAGGGGAGTGAATATGTATTTGCAAGGAAAGAGAAAAGTATTGGGGGTCTGATGACAAAGCAGGAAAGTGGCTTATACAGCACAGACTTCTTGGGTGAAGTGTCCTTTTCCTGTTCAGCAAGTCCTTTTGTCTTTATTTCCCTCTTATCACTCCGACACCTTGCCCAAGTATAGAACGACAGGCAATTCTTAATGACTTCTTAGCTTTTGAAATGGTTCTGGTATAAGAGTCCAGCAATTTTGAATAGTTATTTACAACAAAGTTTCTATTGCTTTTTGAATTTTCAGCTTGGAACTGTTGTTCATTTATAAACATGCCACCCTCCTTCCTCCCCCCCCTCCCCGCAATCTGTGTTAAGACAAATGTGCTCTTGTAGCACCTCACTCATATCAGGAAGTTAATGCCAGCACTTCTGAATGGACCCACTGACAGCTGATGCTGTGTCAGCAGCCAGCAGGGCTGGTAGTGTCCTCCTCAGGAGACTGAACACATCCTTTCTTGGGCACACCCACTCGCCGATAGCACAGTGAACAATTGTTCTCCTGGTCTAAAAACCTGGGCTGCGCCCCATGCCTGCACCATGTATTGTCATTACCCCACTTGGCTGCATATAAATCATTCACTAATTTTTTTGTCACAAGTTCTCTATTCAATTAGAACAAACACATTATTGGCCCCATCCAGCAGACCACACTGGTATCCTTGTTGACTTCAATAGGGGTATTCAAGTGAATAAAAGTTACTTATGGGAGTAAGAGTTTGCTAAGTTGGACCCTATAAACATTTTTTAAAAAGAGTATTTCATAACTATTATACCACCAAAGGTCACAAAAATGGAATTTTTACCGAGGCTATTCAATGGAGGGAGTTTATAGATTAAGCTACAAGCTATTTTCCTTTTTAATATGTTGAGGAAATATTTTAAAATGCAAATTTATCAACGCACCTCTCCATTTTTTCCTAACAGGAGAAAGATGACCAAATACCGCATTTTAAATAAAAAGAGACAACATTTTGATTTGACTTTTCTTTTTGTTTCCTACATGGTGAAGTTTCCTACATGCTCCTTCTGTCCTGTGCTAGGAAAAGTAGCTTAAACACTGCAGCTGTGTCAATTATTGCCTTGCAAATGTGGCCCTCCAGATTTTTTCCAGAAATTGTTGTTGTTATGTTTGTTTGGTTTTGGATAACTTGCTCGGGGGTAGGGTGGGGGGGAGGGGGAATAGGGGCTGATGAGGAGCCTAATTTAGAGCATTTGAAAGCTGGCAGCAGGAGTGCAATTAGAACCATTTCCACAGAGAGCTGGTCAAATGCAGCAATTTATTGGCTGAATGATTGGATTATTCATTTGCAAAGCTGAGAGAAGGCATTTTCTTACCACTTCAGTTGGCCTGTAGTATTTGAGATCGACTGTCACATGAATCTTGCCGGTCTCCTTGCATCGGCCTACCTCGTTTTCATTCTTTCCTTCCCACCTGTAAAGAAGATAAACATTTAATCAACCCATAATTACTTTAGTGCTCTGATCTTAGTAGCATTTGGCTTGTTTTCATTTATTTGAGGCTGGTGTCAATTCTCTCTGCAGGACTGTATAAACTCATTAACTCCAGGAACAAAGGCAGCAGTTTGACCAGAATGGCGCAACAATGGCCTTTGAAGTCCATGGGCTTTGTAAGTCCTAAAACATGGGACTTCCAAGTTAAACACACAATACTGAAAAAAAATTAAAATAAAATAAAATTAGCAGCTTATTGGTATTTCCAATGTCTTATTATCTTCTAAAAGATATGCCCACGTGCTTTTTATTCATTGCTTGGTATGAAGTCGATAAAAATGTTATTTTTAAAAATATTTTTTGTTTTTACAGCTAAGGCAAAACTCACAGGAAACCAAGTATCTGCCTCTTAATTTACCAAAGCTGAGCTCTGTTTGAGAGCACTATTATTCCATCCTGCCATAGTCTAATTCATGCTCAGTTTAAGGCCAGGTCTACACTAAAAGGTTAAACTGACCCATCTACGATGCTCAGGGGTGTGAAAAATCCACACCCAAGAGCGATGTAGGTAAGCCAACCTAACCGTGGGTGCAGACTTCACTAGGTCAATAAAAGAACTCTTCTGTCGATGTAGCTACAGCCTCCCGGGAAGGTGGATTAACTACAACAGGAGAACCCCGCTCATGGCTGTAGTGAGTGGCTACATTAAAGTGCTACAATGGTGCAGCTGCAGTACCGCATCTGTGCCACACTAGCTTTTTAAGTGTAGACATAGGCTAAGAAAAGGCTCTTCAGTTTTAAGCCCTAATTCAGCCAGGTAATTAAGCACATGCCCAATGTGAATGGGACTACCCACATGCTTAAAATTAGGCATGTGTCTAACTGAACTGGGGCCTAAATTAGTTTCCTACCTGCTTTGATACTCTAATATTAATGTAATTTGTAGGAACTCGTTGGGTGTACCGAAACATTTTGTGTCTGTGCTTCCCACTTTATCCTTTCAACACGGTTTGCACAGTCCAAACTGGCAAGATCTGAAGAATAATACAAATGACTTGCTGGATCACTAGAGCCAATGTGTCCTTAATTTTGGGGAGTTTGAAAGTCCAGATCGGAAGTTTGTGGATTTGGCCTGTTTCAAAAGAAATTATCAAAAAAATATTAAGATCTGACTCATGAAACCTACAAAATTCAGAGTTAAGACTGAAACTATCTTTATTCCTTTAAGCCTGTGCCGAAGCATGGGAGCTTTGAACAGCGGGTGTGTTGCAATACTTCAGCACTAAAGGGTGGGGGTAGTGAAATTCCATGCTTTTGTGGGGTTAAGCTCTGAAAAGCAGCACTTGTGATTGAAACTAAATAATCTAAATCTAAATCATCTGCAACAGGAGAGAAGTGCCCTTTACCTCCCTTTACCTGTCGTGCCCTTTATCTGAAATATATTCATTGTTGCTAATTCTTTTGATTTTTATCATACAATATATGGTATTTTTCCTGAAGCTTCAGCTCCTGGAATCATTTAATTTCATAAGAATCTCAGCTTTCATTAACAAATAAAGAAGTAAATTCTAGTCTACATGGTTCTGCAGAAAACCTGAAAATATGGCCTAAGTGCACCCTAAAGGTTCAGAATCCAGCAGGCAAATAAAAACAAAAACAAAACTTTTTAAAAAAAAAATCTCATGATTTTTAAGCCAATCACATGATTTGGGGGGGGGGGGAGGGGCTGACTCATGGCTTTTGCATGCTTGGGGCTGGAAACATTTAATTTTTGTATACTGTAGACATTAACTGCACTAATGTTTGCAGCAGTGCTATAATGCCTACAGCATTGTAAAGAGTAACATTGGGATGCTAAATATGATTTGTGATTTAACTCTTGTGTTTGGTTTTTTTGCAGTTGTTCTGCTTGAAGCCTGTAAGAAACATTTTCATTCAGAAGCCAAAACTAACATTAGCCCCTCCCTTTAAAGGGCAAAGGCTAAAAGTAAGTAGGACCCAAATGAGTTTAATAGAAAACCAACGGTCACCAGTAAAACAACAGGAAGTGCTCGGATCAGGAGACGTCAGTTGCTGTTGGAGGTCACTGAGCAGTGAGCCCCATTTAACACCCAACAGTCTACAAAAGGCTCTTCAGAGCCAACAGAAACTCACTCACTATTACCATCATCAAAGTTTTACAACAATAGGAAGGGAAAACTCCACCCACTTTGCTCAGTAATGTGAAAAGTTCATGAGGAAAGAAGCATTTCTCAGTATGAACAAAAGGGGAGATGCAACTGCAAACGGAACTTTTAATTACAACTGGCATCACTGACACCGGCATTACAGCAGTAGAGACCACCTTGCTGAAAAGAGACATTACATCTGATACAGACTAGATATGAAGAGCACATTAATCTAACCTGCTACATACGTTTTTAAAATCACAAGAAATAAAATCTTTTAATACACAGTGATGTTCTGTAAAGAACAGTTAATAATCTAGAAAAGGTAAAGCCAAGTTAACCCAAGGTCTGGTGGTCAGAGAAAAGAGACATCAGAAACCTTCATATCATCATGGTTTTAGATAGCTAGGCGCTTCAGTCCTAGTGACCCCCTAAGCTTTTGCTTCACAAGGCTGAAGCCTGACAATGCAATAAAACGTACTCGTGGAATTTGGGGAAGACTCTAGGTTAACCTAGATAAACGTACCTTTTTGCTAGAGTGTTTATCTCTGTTTGCTGTAACTTTGAACATAAGGCTAGAGGGGATTCCTCTGGACTCTTTAAGCTTGATTACCCTGTAAAGTTATTTTCCACCCTGATTTTACAGAGATGATTTTGACCTTTTTCTTTAATTAAAAGCCTTCTTTTTAAGAACCTGATTGATTTTTCCTTGTTTTTAGATCCAAGGGGGTTGGATCTTGATCCACCAGGAGTGGTGGGAGAAAGGAGGGGGATGGTTAATTTCTCCTTGTTTTAAGATCCAAGGGGTTTGGATCTGTATTCACCAGGGAATTGGTGAAGAGTCTCTCAAGGCTACCCAGGGAAGGGAATTATCACATTGGGAGTGGTGGCAGCGGACCAGATCTAAGCTGGTAGTTAAGCTTATGCTCTAATAAATTTGTTAGTCTCTAAGGTGCCACAAGTACTCCTGTTCTAGGTTAACCCAGAGTTTTAGTTAACGAAAGTTAGGTTAAACAGGGTTTGCCTACATTAAAGTAGGCTGGAAAGTGAACTCCCACAATGCTAGAGTCAAAACCATGACCTTACAATCTCTGGCCCTATGTGTACATGACACACTTAGAGGCGGACACACGCGGACACGCTTAGAGACAGTGACTACACCACCACAATGATTTGATCACCACATCCTCCAAACCAAGAGCAGGACGTTTGGGGAAGGGGAAGGATCTGTCATGGTGGATTGTCCTTCATAATAGATAATAACTTTAGTTGCATTCCAGAACTTGAAAAAAGGATGTGGATGCTGGGAGAGCACAATGATCTTTTTTCTGCACTTACTGATAACCTGGATTTGATAGCTCTTGCTTCCATTCTATCCCCGCACGGCACCTAGACACCTATGGTGGGTGTCTTATAAAATACTTATCTTACATGAAGTCACTTTTAAGCACGGTGGACACTACCTACGAAAAGGACTCAGAAATTTCCATGTAAATAAATTTAAAAAAAAAATCGATCAAGTTTCAAATGTGGATTCAGAGTGTAAAAGGATTCTCACCTCATGAACATTCATACTGTTGGACTCAGTAGAAGGGGTAAAATTTTATTTTAAAAGGTTACTATTATCCTTGTTAGGATTGTAAAACATTATTTTTCCTCTTTAGTCCTGAAGATTAGGATTTCCCCTGCATTTTTTTTAACCACCATCCTAATCAGCAGCAAGATAATATGCAAATAAAATCAAACAACCTTCCTTCTCTCTAAAACGTGAGTGCTTGTGCATTTCACATACAAGCTGTGACATTGAAATGTGCTGTGACTGCAATGGTACATGTGTTTTACTCCGTTTATTTCTGGGGTGCCTGAGAAGTTGATTAAAAATAAAACCTCTCACAAGAGCCGGAAAAAAATCAAAACTTCAGGAAAATCCCACTCATCACTCACAGCTGCACAGACTTTTCAGATTATTGAGTTTACCACCAATATTCCTTTAGGTTGCCCACTCTGTTGGATCTGGTCTGGTGTATTATGAACAGTATCCCAGTATGTGTAACACAGAATATTAATGCATGTCTGTGAGAGAGTGCTGGGAAACAGCAAATGGTGCAGCACTCTGGTCACTGCAACTACAAGTAGTGTGCTGGAGTAGCCCTGACTAGGAAGAGCTGTGCCTAATTGGTGAATTGGGATGGGTTGAGCAGAGCCCAAAGGCTAATTAGCCCATTACCCAAGAGGTAGAAAAGGCAAGGGGAGGAAGAGACAGATCCATAGGCTTTTCAGAGTCAGAGCCAGGAGAGATCTTTCAGGGAGAAGATATCTTCTGTCTCCTCACTCCACCGTTGATCAAACTAAGGATTGTATGACATTATAAAATATAGAGCTGCACAAGTTTGTACAGGTGGTGGTGGGAACACGGTGAATTAACCCCTGAGGTGGTTTGAGCAGAAGATGGTCTCTGAGTGGTTTGTTGGTTGAAAAGAGACGGCAGTGGGACCCCACCCTGTCATGTCACAAAATTATTGCATGTGATTAGATTTTAAATTTGACTCTACAAACCCTAATTCAACTTAACCTAAATTGTTTAATTTAAATTGGGATGAACATCAGTACACGCTTAAGTATTTTGCTGAATAGGGATGAACTTAAGCATGTGTTCAAGTGGTTTGATTAATTGGACCCACATATCCACAATTTGACTGACCACAGTAGAGTAACCGAGTTGTACATTCCCAATATTGCCAACTGCAAGTGTTCAGAAATCATGAGGCAGGTCCAAAACCTCATGAAATTGTCTTAAAAGTTAGACTTAAAA